AGAGTTGGGGGGCAGTGAGGTGGCGGCGGGGAGAGCGGGCGAGAGGTGAGGGGAGAGGGCGGCCGGGGCCGGGGTTGGGGGCGGCGGGAGAGAGGGTGCAGGGAAGGGGTCAGGAGAGCTGGCTGCTAGGGGGTGAAGGGCAGGGGCGCGTGACTGGTGGCTTCCTTGCTGATGCCCGAGACAATTACTGCGGGGATGGGCGCGAGTGGCAGAGGACTAACCCAGCAGGAAGAAGTCTGTCACCGTCCGGGAGCTAGGAGCGCTGCCAAAGTGGCTTTCTGCTGGCGCCGGGCCTAGGGCAGGGAGAGAGAAAGGAAATCGGAGGGGAGAGCCTCACAGCCCCGCGTCCCGGACCTTGCCGCGGCCCCTTCCTTTGGATTCTTCCTTGCGCACCGGGTCCTCAGCTGATTCACTCTGTCCTCACGGCCTGACATTGTTCTATCCTCAAAGCTGGAAGCGCTGCTTTCTAGGCAGTCTAACGTGTTGGTGCTGTCACCTGGGAACTTTTAATTCGATTCCTTGTCTCATTCCTTTACAGCTATTCTGATTGGTTTCTTTTCAATATCGTTTCTTTATCGACATGGTCTTCCGTCTGCATTTATTCTCTTATTCAGTTGTTAGACCTTCTTTTAGATCATTGACATTTTAATAATTAGTTTTTCATTATCTTTATCTGTGATTTTATCTACTTCCATAACTGTGGGATCCTTTGTTGGAGCATTGTGGAGGGGGGTGGTGGTGCCTGTTTCGTCATGTTTTCTGAGATCTCGGACTTTCACTTCAAATGAGATGGATTTTCTTTCCTCTTTTTTTTACATATGTCCCTTTGTCTGTAGTTATGCTTTTTGTTGGTATCTTTCTCTGTTTTTGATAGATGAGTAGATGTCCAGGAGTGGAACCTGAGCCCCTCCTTAGGGCTTGGTTGTTAGTTTAAGGTTTTTGTTTTAATATAGTAGATGAACACAATACCTTTATTTTATTTTTATGTGGTGCTAAGGATCGAACCCAGTGCCTCATACTTGACGGGCAAATGCTCTACCACTGAGCCACAACCCCAGCCCTCTTCTAGCTTCTTGAGTTAAACAAAATACAGTTTTCTACAGTCACTCTACTGTGCTGGAGCACCCCAGAAATTATCACTGTTATCTAATTGCAAATTAATTCCCATCTATCAACATCTCCCATCCCTTTTTCTGTACACACCATCTGATTTCAAATACTGAGACGAACTTTTTTGGATTCCACATGCAAGTGAGATCATATGATACTTGTCTTTCTGGCTTACTTCTCTTAACATGATGATATCCATTTCCATCAATTGTGTTGCAGATGACAGGATTTTGTCCTTTATATGGATGAATACTATTCCAGTTTGTGTTATGTATCATATTGTCTTTAAATCTGTTAATCACTTGATTGACACCTAGGGTTATTTATGTTTCTTGGCCTTTTTTGAATAGTGCTACATTGAAAATGGGAGTGTAGATGTCTTTGACAGACTGTATTTATTTACTTTGGCTATTACTCAGTAGAGGAATTCCTGGATGGTATGCTAGTTCAATTTTTAAATTTTTAAGGACCTCATACTGTTTTTCCTAGTGGCCCTATTATTACCACCTATAATTAATAATTAGAAAACACCTATCATTGTGTTCACTCAGCGAAGAATCTAAGAACAGAAAACTGAGATAGAAAGTAAGAAGTGGGTTTATTGCAAAAGTGAGAGAGATATAGAGAGGACTTCTCTGAGAAGAGGGGCCTCAGAGCTGGGAATCCAGTGGGAGTTTTGGCCTGTTCTTTGGATGATCTCTGGAATTCCTCCTTTTCTTATCTCCTCCCCTGTCTACACACTCCTAAATATTATTTATTGGTGCCCCCTCTGTCCATGCATCTGTTTTAGTTTTCCCTTTGGATCTCTTGCTTGGGAGCACTAGTATGGAAGTGTCTGTCTGATTGGGTCCCCCACTTAGGTCAAGCAGGAAGTTGACCTCATCAGAAGACCCTCCCCATGCTCCTTTGTTTGGGCCCTGCCCAACTTCCTCACTTGCCATCTTGCCCTGGTTGCCTAAGCCCTCCTACCTGTCCCCCACTATGAATCTACAACCCACTAACAATATACAGGATTCTCTTGCCAGCACTTTTTGTTTGTTTGTTTGTTTTATTGTTAACAGTCATTCTTACTGGAGTGAGATGATGTTACCTTGTGGTTGTGATTTGCATCTCAAAGATGACTGGTGATACTGAGCACAGTTTTGTGTGCCTATTGGCCATTTACTTATCACTTTTGAGAAATGTCTTCAGATTTTTTTCTCCATTTTGCAATCAGGCTATTTGTTTCTAATTATTAAGTTCTTTGAGTTCCATATATAACCTCTTACCTGATATACAGCATGCAAATATTTTCTGACATTCTGTAGGTTGTCTCTCCACTCCCAAAATTGTTGCCTTTGATGTGCAGAAGATTTTTTAGTTTGATTCATCTTGTTTATCTGTTTTTGCTTTTGTTTTCTCTACTTTTAGGGTCTTGTCTAAAAAATCTTTTCCCATTACAATATCCTTAAAATGTTTAAAAATAAAATTTTATGTTTTTCAATTAATCCCTGGTTCTCCTTCATGGTAAGCAAGCATTTTATCACTGCACTACACCCCCAGCCCATTTAATCCACTTTGAGTTCATTGTTTCTGAGTGAAGAGCCACAGGGGTCTAGTTTCATTCTTTTTCCTGTGGATTCCCTACCCTGTTTTCCCAACACCATGTATAGAAAAAAA